CGCCTTCATCCGTGAAAGCAAAGCCCGACCTCAACAAATCAACGCGCAGGGTAGGCACCTCGCCATTCAAGTAAGTTCTCCCAACTCGAATTAAGACTCGGGCCGCGTAAAGTTCGGCCCCGGTCAAACTATGAGGCTTCGTTTTTACTATCACGACCGTAGTTCGACCCGTCCGAACTGGGACTAAGGCTAAACGCCGCTTTCGCCAAATAACGGCCAAGACTCGCCCGCACCGAGTTGAAAAAGCAAGGCCATCAATTATATTTATGGCTCAAGGCCATCGTCGCCAACAGTCGACCTAGATTCGACTAAGGTGAATAAACGACTCGACGACAGTTCGAAGTCGCCTACATGGCTAAGGGGCCATCGTCGCCAACAAGTCGACCTAGATTCGACTAAGGGTGAATAAATGACTCGGACGACAGTCGAAGTCGCCTACATGGCTAAGGCCCATCGTCGGCCAACAGTCGAACCTAGATTCGACTAAGGTGAATAAACGAACTCACGACAGTCGAAGTCGCTTTTATGGCTAAGACCGTCTCGATTTCTTGTCACGACTAAAGTGTCGATCTAATATTCGACTAGGGCGCCAATGCCGCGTTCAACAAAAGGCGCCACAAAAACTCTAAAGAAACGAAAGAAAAACAGTAACACAAAATAAGCACAAGGCAGGCAATAGAAAAGAAAACTTATATATTTACAAAGTCAAATTGCGGGTCTATCCCCGCTTACACCCGGCCAACGGCCGATCAATACAAGAAATTAAAAAGAAAAACAAAAGAAACTTCTAAACGCCAAACGGCGAACAAGACAAGAAAAAAATGGACATCATCATCTTTTTTACTCGGTGCTCGCGCCACCTGTCTGCACCAGCGTCAGCCTCCGGGCGTCGCGCAGTCAAAAACCACAGTCGGCACGGGCCCTCACGAGCCTTCTGACGCCGCCCGCCTCGAAAGTAGCTTTCAGGTCACGACGCCAGCCCTCCCACAAACTCTTATATACATCACGTTGGGACCTCGGCAAAGAACCCAAGTTTCGAGCCTGGCTGGAAGAAGCGGCTTGATCCCGTAGACCGCTAATCTCTCTTCTTCCAAGCGCCGCGATTGCAGGTTCCCATGACTGCGGCGTCATCTCGAGACACCAATCCGCTCCTCGAGACTCGCCTTTTCTAAAGGCCTCGCAGCATCCCTTTTCAACGCCCGTTGGGATTCATGCACGCGGATAGCTTCTTCAACGCGCCCCGGCCCTCGACGAGGCATCCCTCACTTGAAAGTTTCAATGCCGCGACTTCATCCTCTAACGCGGTTACCTTCCCGCTCATTGCCGCAAGTGACCTCCGCCGCCTTCGCTTGGTCCACGAAGCTCGCACTCAGCAGCAGCCTCTTTTACCACCTCGAGCTCCTCATCACCTTATCGGCGGAGCGGCTCCTCGAGAGCACATCGTCCTGTCAAGTGCTATGCCGCATCTGAACCTCCCGCCTTCGCCAGCTCTTTCGACCAAGGGCCCGCGCTAGAGGATCGTTCCATCAAGCGCTCCCGCGCAAAACTCTCTTGACACTTGATCCCTGGGGTTAGCGGCGATACTTTCACGCCCGCAAAAAATATCCCGAGCGGACCTTGGCTCGACGGATGGCTCTCCACCTCCAACAGATAAGACTGGCAAGAGCAAAGACAACGATCAGAATAAAAGAATAACCTAAGGTTAAAGAAGAAGCGAACCGACGTAACAGTACATACCTCAAGCTCATCACCGGCTACTTCATTCATCAGCCCGACATCCGTAACGCCCCTCAGCGACGTATTCTTCGGCCTCGAGCACAGCAGCTCGAACTGCCGGCACCAAAGCTTTCCCCTTGGAGCAATAAGTTTCAATTCCGGTGGGAACTCCGATAAAACGAGATCGGCCCCTTGCTGCGCGGCACCGCTGCATTGGTGGAGCCTTCCTGGAACATACGGACGTCGTCGGGGGTCCAAGTCGGATTCAGAACTCATCCTCTTCACCCACATTAGCAGCCGCTGAGGAACTACCTCCCGTCCTCAGCGACTGGAACCACCAATTGAGCTGCCGAAGCGACGGTATCAATCACGGCCTAAGCCAACCGGGGCAACCCCTATTGTTTTGTCGCCTCAGGGGCAGCGGCACCGCAGCAGCACTCCTCTCGCGATCCGCCGGCGGGGAGTCCAAATTGAATTACCCAAGGAGGAGCCGGCGCGAACGCGGACCCTACGCCTTATCAACGGGCCTCTCCTCCTCCCCATCTGATGACGACTCCGCTCTTAGGGCGCACAACCCCCGATGGCCCCTCGTCCCGAAGTAGGGTCCGTGATGAGAAGAAACCGCTGAAGACTCGACTGATGCGCCCTCGGTGTTGAGCGCGGGACACTGGCGCTGCAGTAAGCGAGCAACTGCACCAGGCCGACGGAAGGCCAACTGAGGGCCCTGACCGCGGCGCGCCCTCCCTAATCACAAGAAAAAAAAGGTTAATGAATAAAGCTGAAAACAAAGCGGAACAGAAGAAGAGACCAATTTTTACCTGCCACAGGCCTACGGCCATGCCTCTCCCAGAAAAACGCCCACGTACGATTCCCCCTCGTATGGGGGAGTACGGCCTCGACCCATTCGCGTATTCAAGGGCAATGGGGGCGGCGGCGACCTGTCGGCTACAAAAAAGACACGAGTTAACGCTCATAAGCACAAATCATAAAGAGGGAATAAAAGAATTCAACCACTAAAGAACTTACGTTGCATGGTTCCAGGCCTCTGGCAACCCAGTAGCATCCGCCACCAGGGTTTGGTCCTGATATAAAAGAAGTGCTCGAAAAGGCGGGGGTCGAACTCGTCATCCATCTCCGGTGACCAGGCCCCTCGCCCCACGAGGGCACGCCCTGAATCATTGGTGCACGTGACTCTCTGGGGAGCGTAGAGACTCAGCACGTGCTGCAGCGTGACCTCCCTACGGGCCAATTCCGCATATTTGATGAACATCGCCAACAATTTGTAGAGGGAAGGAGTGAGCTGACCTGGGCACACCCCGTAATGAGGTAGAAATCCACCACCAGCATTGTGGAGCGGGATATTGAACCCCAACCTGAAAGGATAGGCGTAAAAAACGCAGTATCCCTACGGTCGGTGTGGACCCTCTCCTCGTTTTAGCGAGAACGATGTCGCATGGGTAGGAACGGACAACCCTGTTCCCGCAATCGGGCCATTCCCGATTCCCCCCCCCCCCCCCCCCATCAACGGGCTTATCCACCGGCTCCTCTCCACCGTCGAC